CTATTAATTGGTCATTTATCATGGTGACCTTTTGGAGTGATATCTTAACACTATAAATAGAGATATCACTCACCATTTGAAATACACACTTGAATAAGAAAAATTTTCTCCTCTATCTTATACTTATTGTCTAATTCTTCTTATATTCTGAGCTTTCTTTATAATAAATTGATCCATATTTGACTAATATTTAAAATAATCAAATATTAAGTCGAAAATAAAATAGATTGATTGATTACCGTAAATTTTAACCATTTTGTCAATCCTACTCACACTAAATGAAGTGTAACTAAAGCTTTACATAGATCAAAGATTATATGGGATGAATACAATCTAGGTTTCACTTAATTCTGTTATTCACTATTATTTTTAAAAATCTCCCAAAAAAAAATTAATATATCTGAACTGCATATTAATGTATTTGAGCCCGTATTTAATGTATCCGAACTAGTTTTTAATGTATCCAAACTACATATTAATGTATTCGAGCTTAAATTTTTATATCTGTTTTTTAATTTTTAAGAAATTAATGTAATCAAAAACTTATTAGGGATAGATTGTAATTTCATATTAATTAAAAACTTATTAGAGATAGATTGTAATGTCATATTAAAATTATGAGATTTATGTAATTTACACTAAAATCTATCCAGTTAGTGGTCTCGTGTGAAAAATCATGAGGTCCTCATGTTTAAGCAAAAGCAAAATTATAGGTTGTTTCTACCCATCTATTTAAGTCTTGGTCGATAAAGTTATCTAGTATATGTACTAATGAATGGTAGTAAATATTCACAAAATTAATCAAGATGCACATAAATTGACTCCGACCAAGTTATTTATTATTGTGTTAGATGCACCTTCAACAAATTTACTCTGCTCATTTCAATTTTTTGCTTCAATTTTCATTTTTATCCGTTTAAAAAAAATTCCTTTTTTAGCAACTAATATAATTCTAATTTTTCACATGACATATTTTGTATCCCAAGTTTAAATTATATTTTATTTAGTATATTAAAAAACATCTCAAGATCATAAGATTAAAAAATATCTTTATTTTTTAAAAATCCATTTTAAGTCAATATCAAATAAATACAAATCAATAAAGTAAATAATAATTTAAAAAATTACAAGTATGATTACCAATTCATCCTAGTATTTGGATTTTTTTCCCATATGCATCTTATGGATTTAGGTGTTTCAACAATTAACAGCCCAGCATATTTGTTTGATTATATATTAAATTGCAACAGAGAAATATAATCATACTAGAAAAGTTAGTTAGAAAAAAAAACTTCCATCCATCAATTTTAATTTTATAATATTAAAATATCAAATATAATTAAATATTAAAATATAATATATATTCTAGAAAATTATATTAACGAATGAGTCACATTACACCAAAGTTTCATATATCCAAGAAGTCTAAAGAATAATAATGGGACAGGTAACGTAATTATATAAGTGTGAACAACTTGTACATTTAATAGCCACCAAATTAAATAATTATCATAAATATTTTGCTGGATAATGACACCTAACAGTAATCATGATTATGCTTAAAAAATAGAATAATAATATGACTATTTTTTCCTTTAATTCTTATCTAATTTTGATCAACTACTCATCTTCTTTGACTTATTGAATAAGCAAAACTTACAATGTGAATAAATCAATTTATTCGACCAAATCAATTCATAATTAATTTACTTGCCTAATTCAGCACAATTTTAATATTCTCAATAATATATATAATAAGAAGAACTTTTATTAGTTCTTTAAAAGGATAATATTATAATAATTTTATATTTATGGGTTCTTGTTGAAAAAAAGCATAAATTTGGAGTTGTTTCAACCATTATATTTTCTCTATTACCAAAAAAAAACTTAGAAAGCTGTCCTATTCAAAGCCGACTTTTTTTTTAGAAAAAAAGTGATGTTTTTTTCTTAATAAAGATAGTGTTCTTGAAAAAGGGTGGAAGAGATCAAAAGGGGTATCTTGTTTTCTTGAAAAATTGTGTTATTTTGGCACAAAAACAAGATTAGACATATTGGGGTTTTAGTTTTTTTTGTGTAGAAGGAAGACTTTGCTTTTGTCAATATTTGTTTGTACAAGAAAACATAAAAAGCAGTTTTCTTGAGGGGTAAAGGCACCTCAAAGAGGGGGATGGAGATGATGAATTATCAGGTTGGAAGGAGTTCTTATCAGGATTCCTTGAAAGTTTTGGAGGCTGATATTCAGTATGCTAATACTCTGTAAGTTTGCTTTTTCAAAGACTTGATTTTTACTTTCTGAGATAATGAATTGTACTTGTTTAATTAGGGGTTTATATTATCCTTTTTTTGGGTTGTTGATGCTTTAATGTGGCTTTATTTTGGTGTTGGGCTATGCTAGCTTGCTTTTAGCTTGACTAGATTTTTGTTGATATCAACTTTATTTAGGAATGAGTAATTTCTATTCATGTAGTTTTGTTAAAAGAGTAAGACTTCATGTTCTGGTGTTGTGTTTTCTTCAGCATGTTCATGCTTGCAACTTGTAGCATTTTAAATACCCTTGGTATCAAATGATTGTGCAAAGTTTCCTTGTCTTTGTGATAATGGAAGTTCTTGATTCTGTTTAAGAATTCATTTGGTCTTTATCTAATATGCTAGTTTGGTTGCAGGGCTGCTGCAATTCCAAGAGAAAGGAGTGGAGCACGTCTTCAAATGAAACTGACCTACAATGGATTGGCTCCTGTGTTTCTGTTTTTGCTCCGTTGGATAGATAGTTCATGCACTTGTCTACTTCCTGGATATATGAATTTCTTTCATGTCCTCATTTACAAAGTATGAATTTCTTTCTGTTGACACTAAGTTTTTTCGTCTTAACCCGTTTTCTCGTTATTCTATTCATGTATACGCCATATGCATTAAAAGAGTCAATATGTGTGTTCCCATGTGTAAGTCAAAGGCCACTTGCCAAAAAGGAATCATGTAGATCCAGTTAGCTTCTGAATTTATTGAATATCCAGTGTTTTTCTTTCCCCTCTTTATTAGTGACAACAAAGATTATAGTTGCACAATTTACTGTTCTGTCACTTATACCAGTTTTTTTCTCAGTTTACTAACGTCGTCTCTCCTTTGGCAGGTGCGTACAGATGGGAGACCAAGAATATCTAGACACGGAAGAAGAGCAACTATCAACGACTTTTATGGTTAGTCGCTCGTTCTCCTATTATGTACCAAACTTTTTACGCATTTTAGGATTAAGTTTCTTACCTTGATTGTGCTTAACTATTACCCTTAATACTGACAAAATTACAGGTGTTATACTGCCATCACTACAGCAGCTACATTCTAACTTGGTGGAGCTGGACGATTGTAAAGTCGTAAATCATGGCATAGGAAGTTCTCAAGAGAAAGTGAAAGGAGACTCCAAATTTTCAAACTTTGAAGCAGAGAGAGAAGATGAATGTGGAATATGCTTGGAGCCTTGTAACAAAATGGTCTTACCAAATTGCTGCCATGCAATGTGCATTAATTGCTATCGCGATTGGTAATATACCTACATTTCTTAGAAATAATAAATTATATCTACATCCTCTCTATTCATGTCTTTCACTATTCTAAGAGCTTGGCTGAGAACAATACTGCTTTCTCAACCCTTCAGGAATACAAGATCCGAATCCTGCCCCTTTTGCCGTGGTAATTTGAAGAGAGTTAAATCAAGAGACTTGTGGGTCCTCACCTGCAATGATGAAGTTGTTGATCCCGAGACTGTTTCCAAAGAGGATTTATTGCATTTCTATTTGTATGTTAACAGTCTGCCTAAGGATTCTCCTGATGCGTTGTTCTTGATGTATTATGAATATCTAATATGACATAAAACATTTGAGATAAGTAGTGTACAGATAGAGAAAGAAAACCTTCAAATGTACATAATTCTGGTGGGAGAAATTCTCCTAAATTTCACAGAGAAATAACCACCTCCGTGATTGTTTTCATGGTGGTATTCATGCCAGCTTCATGATCAATGTCAGATTTTTATTATTAAAAATGTCCCTAAGCTCCTTATTTGGAATTTTGCATCATTTACATATATTATATCCAATTGATAATTGCATAGCCTTTGCTTTTGATGATGCAAACTCTACATTCTTTTAGTTTGCTAGAGATTTATAAGGATGTGTTACATTTTAGCAGTGTAGTTGAGACAGATGACAGAGCAACATCACGATGAAGGTGGGAATGGGAGGAACTTTTCTTTTTTTGGAGAGATGAGGTATTGAATTAGGGAGATTAGAGGATGAATTCCCTACTCTCTACAGTTAAGCCCCAAACAAAAATATTATGGTGGCCAACTGTTCTGTACTTTTGTCAACTCTGAATGGTAGCTATAGTTCAGAAAAAACTTTAATGATTGAGAATTTCAAGATATCAGTTACCTTTATGACACTTTTGCAGCCAATTGCTGTTGATGATAACTGGGTGGACTCTCAATTTGGGGTTGCTAGCAGCAGTGTCTTCTTCTCCATGAAAAGGTGCTACGGTGTTCTTCAAAAACTAGTGCAATTGCTGAAACAATTCTCTCTGAAGATGATGATATGGAGGACAAAAGCACCACCAAAGTAGCCTAAAGGTGGATTGCTACTAAGGTAATGTCTCACTTGAGACAATTGCACTGAAGAAAAGTCTCTGTTTGTAGCAGATATTTCTCGTGTGAGAACTCACAAGAATCTATCAACCGTCTCTTGCTTCAATGCTATTGTACCCGACAGATAATGGACATTATATAAACCATTTCTGGTGTTGACTGGGTGATGCCACAGAATTGCAAGTGCTGATTATCAGATGGGCAAAAATAGAAATGACAAAAACTAAAGAGGAATGGAAGATGTTTTGATGGGGAAAGCAGCATTTTTTATTTATTTTTTGCGAAGTCCAAATATATACAAGAGCTGCAATTTTGGTGTAGGAACGCTGGAGTGTCCAGCCAATTTACAGGTAAAACCCCTAAGAGCTGTGGAAAATCTCAGCAAAGGAAGAGTATCCTTCCAGTCCATTAAATTACCATATATATAGATTCATACATGACAATACATGTGCATTCACAATGCAGCTTGGTGAAAATACTTGTTGTACTCCACAAAGGTTGTCTATCTATTATTGATAAAGGAGGTAATCTGCCTACACTAAAGTTTTTCATTCTTACAATGGAAGAAACATTCCTATTATTATCTCGCTCTCTTGATTTGGTCTTTCCGGAGCGGTATTATTTACTAGGTTACATCGAGTCCAATCTACATGCCACTCTTACCCTTGACCAGCTCACTAAAAGAGGGTTGACAGAAGCCTTGATTGAGGAAAAGATCAGTGACTTTCCGATTCATTGCTTCTGTAAGATGGATACCATCCCAGCTGATAAATTTGCTTGGATCATTACATTTAACGGTTCCAGGTGAGCCACACGGCGAATGCAGGTTGAAGTTCAATGGTCCTCCTACAGCTCCACAGCAAGGCTTGAAAGCTTCCTCAAATTGGTACTTTTTTAGGTTCATCTTAATTGTTAGATATGCATTCCAGTAGTCAGCATATAAGATATGACAATTAGGATATAAACTACGGAACATTTCCAGTTTCTTTTGAAGGATCTGGTTGTGCAACATTACTGCTGCATTGACAGCTGCTGCACATCCCATATGATCAAGAGCAGCTTTCAGTGGACACAATGAGATATGTAATGGGAGGCATCCTAGTGGTGGTAAGCCTTGAACTACGATGTACTTTGCTCCGCTTTGCACTGTTGCCTATACATGTAACACCGTCTACTTAGCATTGCTGTGATGTCAAATACATGTGATACTAAATAGTCTGTTTGGTCAAACTTTTAGGAAACTACAAGTGTTTAATCTTATAATAAAAGAAGAGGGCTTACTTTGGAACATTAAAGTGTTTGGCCAAGATTCTGTCAAAATAAGTGTGACTAGTAGTAGAAAACTGTTTTTCTGTTGTAAAGGAAAAAACCAGGAAAAGTACTTCTTTGTAAGATTAGAAGCAAAGTTTTAATTTTTTTTTGGGACAAAAATATCCTAACCAAAAAACTTGTCAAACTATCACCACAGTACACACATAAACTTAGCTTATGCATTTTCAACTGAACATATATATGTCCTAAGTACCATAAACATGTTCCCTCTCTGTGTGATTTAGTTTTAACATTTTAATGAGATGAAATTGACATTTTAATTAAGGTCTCTCGTAAATGAATAAATACTGTAAATCATTTTAAATTCTCTCCTGTCTTTATTTGTAATTTGATACTCAAAAACATTTTTAAAAAGATTGGTCGAACACTAATTGTTTTGATAAAATATTAACAGAAGTGCATTTCAGATGATTTGGCAAAGATAAACTGTTATTATCCAAAATACTTTTTCTAAAACTTCATTTGACACAAAACACTTATCAACGTAAGCTGATCTTGGAAGCTTAACCAACGAGGTTTTAATACTAATATTACTATGTTAAAGCTTTTATGGAGACAATTAAGTTACATTTCATGTGCATACCTCGATAAGTCTGCTAACTTGAAAGACGGACTGCTGTGTGAGCCAATGTGAAGTTAGAGAGGACCCTTGTATACGAGCATAGTCACTGACACCAACAGAGCCTATCCAGAAGAGTGCATTCTCCATTTCAGCCTGACAATTTTTACCATTTTTATCTGTACATCCAATCTGCTGTTTGAACTTAGAGAACCAATCAATCTGAGTTTGAAAGTTCATTGGTAATCCTTTCCAGAATGGGTTAGTAAGTTTCTTGGTTGAAAAATCATCTTGAGAGAGAATTGTTGATCCGGCTATTGCAAAGTTGGCCCCAGCTTGGAAATTTGCAGAGGTATTTTGGAAGGGTGGCAAATGTGGTAAGTTAAAAGCATCACATAGAAAGTCTACCATCAAATGTCCATCACATAAATTATTGTTTGAATTTGCTGAACTGCTCGATGTGTGACCAGCCAGTAAATTAGCATTTCCTGTATCAGTGTAAGAGTCTCCAAAAGCGTAGACCTTGTGGAAGCATCCTACAAAGTTATTATGCCTAGTTGAAGTGTCTTGGTTATTGTTATTAGCAGGAGAAGAGTTACCTGTTACGAAAATAATATATGATGAAGTTAGAAAAAGAAAAGCTTTGAGGAGTGAAAACAACTTCCTTCAAGAGATATTGTCCGTATACTATTCTTGGGAATATACAGACTAGTCCCTTCTTGATACAGCAAAGCCTACAAATTAATTTGGCCACTATTCAGAGGAGACATGTCTTTACAGGGTCAAGCAATGGTATATACAATTAAGAGGTAAGATAATTGTGAAGGAAATGACTTTGCCTTCTGACTATTATCCTTCATACCAAACACTCTCAATATATAAAGCTTCCAAATTCACATTTGCCTTCTGATGCGGTTCAATCTCACGTCACATATATTGTGAACTATCTAACATGAACAGCGAAAGAATTACCAGGCTTGGCAGGAACTTCCTGGCTGTTGTTCTGTGCGGGGGAAGAATTACCAGGCTTGGCAGGAACTTCCTGGCTGTTGTTCTGTGCGGGGGAAGGGTTACCAGGCTTGGCAGGAACTTCCTGGTTGTTGTTCTGCGCGGGGGAAGGGTTACCAGGCTTCCCAGGAACTTCCTGCTGGTTGTTGTTCTGTGCGGGGGAAGGATTAGCCGTCTTGGCAGGAACTTCCTGCTGGTTGTTGTTCTGTGTTGGGGAAGGATTAGCCGGATTGGCAGGAACTTCCTGCTGGTTGTTGTTATTTGCAGGGGTAGGATTAGCCGGCTTGGCAGGAACTTCCTGCTGGTTGTTGTTATTTGCAGGGGTAGGATTAGCCGGCTTGGCAGGAACTTCCTGCTGGTTGTTGTTATTTGCAGGGGTAGGATTAGCCGTCTTGGCAGGAACTTCCTGCTGGTTGTTGTTATTTGCAGGGGTAGGATTAGCTGGCTTGGTGGGAATATTTTCATGGCTATTGTCATGAGCAGAGGAACAATCACAATGGGGAGTTTCAGGGCTCTTTAAATGAGCATATGAAAATGAGAAAAATAGGCAGAAACAGAAGAAAAAGGTTAGAGGAAAATGTGGAAAGAACATATTAGACATAGTTGAAATTTGTAGTACTAAGTTTTTTTTTTCTTTTTTTTTTGGTATTTTTTTGTAGTAAAGTTTATGTTATTCAATGGTCTGCTAAGTAAGATAATAGCAAGAAAGGCTATTTATAGAATTCAGTTTCATTCTGTTGGAGTTGAGAGGATAATTTTGTAGTCTCCTTTGTTTTAGGTAAGTAATCACAGGTATTCATTGTTTGAGGCACTAGATACCAACAAAATGTTTTACTGGAGGTATAGTTAAACTAGGATCTTAGTCACAATTTTATTATCATCAATTTCCCTGACCATAAGTAGGTGAATAAACGAAAGGTAAATAGCGATTGACAAAAATTGAGTGTAAGATATCATACCAATAAAGTGAAAGTTCAGGTCCACTCGTACATAATAAGATAATTTTTAAAAGTAAATTATGTTAAGCCAAAATTGTGACATGTATAATTTGAATAATTAAATTTGAGGATATTCTTTAAAAAAAAACTAAGATTACAAGAATTCATAGGTCATACTTCTAAATAAAATTAAATAGGATGACATATTTGACTTTGTTAAGAAATGAAGTAAAGGACAACTTTTTTTTTTGGCCAAATACAATATACAAGGCTTTGAAGTTGGTCTTAGTTTTTAATTTGACACTCTCAATTCAAGTTTGTACTATTTATATAGGGTGAGAAACCTAAACAATAGTTAAAAACTAAAAATTGAATAAAATAATGAGTTGAAATAAAGTTTCAAGTTTCTATGTATTAGTGTGTTATATTACTTTCGTAAATTGTTGACACGAATGAAGTTGAAGAAGATAGAGGATTTGTTTATATATTGGTAATGAACACTATCGATAGATGTTTTGAGAGAAGTATTGAATGAAAATGAGAAAATAATCAAATGAACACTCTATCGATAGATGTTTTGAGAAAAGTATTGAATGAAAATGAGAAAATAATCAAATGAACACTCTATCGATAGATGTTTTGAGAAAAGTATTGAATGAAAATGAGAAAATAATCAAATGAACACTCTATCGATAGATGTTTTGAGAAAAGTATTAAATGAAAATGAGAAAATAATCAAATGAACACTCTATCGATAGATGTTTTGAGAGAAGTACCGAACGAAAATGAGAAAATAATCAAACATTTGAGATTGATTTGTGGTTTTGCAAATATTGTATAATTTGTTAGGTTTACTCGATTTTATGTTAAAAAAATAATAAAATTTGTTGTTGCATTTTTTATATATTAGATGATAAATCAAGTAATATACACTACACAGTTTTATAAGATAACAGAAATATTATTAAGATCATTTCAAGTAAATAATTATACCTCAAAAATAGTATAAAATTTTGTGAATGATAGATAATTTTTCAGCTCATCTAAATTAGTAAAAGTATCAACCAAATTATAAAAATAAATTACACAAAACCCCCGATTCAATAATCAGATCCATTTTTTTTAAAGTATCAAAATCATATAAAATGTAATATAAGAAAGTTGGCTCCATGTATTATGTAGAAATTATTTGAACACAAAAACAATTTCTTCCTTTCTTTCTTCATTAGTTATTGTCCGATGAAAGTATTCAATTTCAAAAAAATAAAATAAAATGTACAATGAATTATAAAATTTAAATCTGCAGAGAACAATCGAAATCAAATGATAATATATCATTGCAAGAAATACTTTGTAACATTTACTATAAGTGATTCATAATAAGTTAATTTTTAGTACTTTTTAAAATTCAATATAAATGATTTATTTTTTAAAGCTTAAAGAGCTTAATAATTAATTAATTTTGTGAATTATAACGGATTTTATGACTTGCTCCTTAAATCCTGTTGAATAGAATATCTTTTTTTTATGAAATCACACTAAAGAGAGTATACTTCAAATTAATGGTAACGTAATAAATAGGGAGCAAATCCAAATGTCAGATCACATGCTTATGAGTTATGTGAAATATTAATATGTTGAACATTGATTTATAGTTGTCAAATTTTTCAGTTACACTCAAGCTAAGTTACGGTTTAATTGACCATCGTAATTTTTAATAAAGTGTTCCAATTAAATACTTCCAATTTAAATTTTAAAAAGATATTTGTAAGTATTTTTGTTCGAATTCAAATAGATAAGTTTATTTATTAAGCGTATAAATATGTCATCTTCTATAGCATATAACTAAAGAAAATAATATACATGTGTGATTATTAATTAACTTAACTAAGTAATAAATGAATGCGAACATAATCATACAAGAAAAAAAAAGCACAAAATGTACTCAACTATAAAATGAAAGAAAGGAAACATCTATACAAAATAACAATAATGATGGATTTTGTTAGTTACGTAAAATCCATAGCCAAATTACACTTTTATTTTGGATAATTCTATTAACTTTGTAGTAAATGATCAGAGTTTTTGGCCAAAAATATTTTTTAATTATACCCCAAACTTAAATTATATCTTTAGTATCATTCTTATCATAAAACATTTTTCAAATATTTTAAAGTGAGCAATTTTCATTCTTCTACTTGAATTTCTCGTAAAACTATCCAATATATCCCACAAAAATTAAGTCGTTCTTCCTAATTATTATTCTTAGATATGTCAAAAATATTATCGTGAACTTTTTCGTAATTAAGTTAAGAATTATGCAAAACTTTTAATTTGATCATTTTTTTCATTCATCTTTCATATAATTTTAATAAAAAATATTATTAGTTTAAATATGTTTCTTTTCAATTGAATATGCTAGAATCGACATTTGTTGGAGACTTTCGTTTCTAATAATGTAAAATGAAACTCAAATACAAAACATAATCAATATTTTGATCACTTCAATATTAGATTGACCTAAAATATCTATTAATTTAATTGGTTGAGAAAAAGATAAGAATAATTAATATTCAACTTTTTTCCGTTATGAAAAAGACAAATTATGTACGCTCACACCTTCCAATCATTTTTAGTTTCCATAAACAACAATGTCTAATATTTTTTTTATATTTTTCAAGAACTTCTTGTAGCAAGTAATGAAATTATGCAGAGTAACTTTTGTTGATAGTCACGTTAACTACTCATTTTTTCGCAAGATCCACTAGTTTTTTTGACAATGTCTAACAAAAGGATGAAAGTTGATCATTTACAAATACTTAAAGGATGTTTTCTGCTAAAAATGATACTTTAAGAATATAATTTAAGTTTGTGATATAATTAAAGGATGTTTTCTGCTAGAAATGATACTTTAAAAATATAATTTAAATTTAAGATACAATTAAAAAATATTTTTTACCAAAAACATCAAAATAAACATCTTTTACTATACATTAAAAACTATGTCAATCAAATAAAACACACATATTAACAGTAACCAGTAACAAGTGGCACTTTCGGTTGTCGATGCAAAAACGACGTCATTTTATGTCATCAACGTCGAAAACAGTAACACTTCAAAGGCATATAGAATACAAAATTGCAATTGTTCACGTGATTTGCACAGCTACAAAATCCAAGATCCACACACACCATCATCGTCTTCTTCAACTCTAATCATATCGAAACCCAACAAAATTATTCATTTGGTAAATATACTTTGATTCCTATCATTTCTCTAGGTTTTTTTATAATCATTTTGCTCATTTGCAATTTACTTTTTCTGTACTGGTACCAACTAAGAATTCACTTTTTTGGTGATAAACTTATATGGGTGTCAAAAAAGATTGATTTTCCCCCCTTTTTAGGCATATATTGATATGGGTGTCAAGAAAGATTGAATTTTTTTCACTTCTTGAGGCATGTGTTGATATGGGTGTCAAAAAAGATTGAATTTTTTTAACTTCTTGAGGCATGTGTTGATATGGGTGTCAAAAAAGATTGAATTTTTTTCCACTTCTTTAGACATGTATTGATAGGGCTGTTTTTTTTTTCTTATCAGAAACCCTTTTTTGTTTTTTGAAAGGTAGATTGAAGCTGGATTGGGGCATGCAATGTCAGAAAATCATGATGGAAATGATGATTCACGTGGGGTTGTAGATGGAGGGGAAGCTTCAGTTTCTGTAAAACCAGTTGCTATTAATCAGGTGGAAATTTACTTATCTTGATTTTTTATGTGTCGGTGATTTAATGTGTACTTTTCTCTACTTTGCTTGAGTATTATTTCTAGAGTTGTTCATGTATTGAAAATAGCTTCATAAAGAGTATTCTCTATACTCCTAAATTCATAAGATTAGAAACAGTTTAGCTTAATTCTTTGGATATAAGCCCTCAAAACAACTCCTATTTCTTCTGTCTATGTTGTCCACCAGAAGAGGTGGATCTAGGATTTGGAAGCTCTCGCTGCGACCCTACTTTGAACAGTAACATATGTAGCTTAACATTCAGAGAGGAAGACTTGTATAGTTAATTTAGACAAGGTTTTAGTTAGAAGTGGTCTAGGGTTCTATCTTCTTAACCACAGTTTTTTTGTTGGGTCGATCTTGCATCCCAAGGTATTAAACTTGATCTCACCACTAGCAAGATCCTAAAGGTATTGTTGAACTTGAACTTTAACCACTAGCACTACAAGGCTCATTGTTTCTTTTCAATGCCAAGGTTAATATTTTATACATTTGCTTATACATATATTTACAAATATACTCTTTGGTTGGATCATAGGACATTCCAGGAACATATATATTTTTACATAATTTCAACCAAGATTTCCGTGTGCTGTGGAACCCTCTCCCTTGTACATAGATCTGCCCCGTCCACCAGACATGCACATGAGGGGTCATCCTCCACCATTTCCTGTATTGATATCATTCCAGTACCAATAGGAAGTACCTGGTATTACTTTCCTTCTTTGCTGGACATAACTGCTTTCCAGTTAACTAGATTAAAAAGTTTGGTGTCTTTCCATCCTTGCACAAAAAGTTTCTTCTTAATGAATCAAATTTTTCTGCCTTTGCTGGTAGTGGAAACAGGAACATAACATAAGTGTGTAGAGCATCCAAGAAGCTGTTTATCAGAAATGTCCTTCACCCAAGAGAGAGTTATTGAGCCTTCCAAGCCTTTTTTCACATTCATCAACTACTCCACTCCATATATCCATAGCCTTGTTTCTTGCTCCCAAATGGGATTGGGTTCCTAATTTAATTATGTGCTTACTTCATATATATTAGAGAATACTTGGTGGAGAATATGAAATCATTTTACTTGAAGTGTCTAAATATTGAGCTAAAGGAATGTCAGGGTAGAACTTTACAGTCATATTTGCTTGCCTGGAATTTGAATCTAAAGAGAAGTTTTGGTTGGTTCTTCTGTATTTAAAACTTTAACTATTGTCTTATCGTTTTCATGTTTGTTCCAATTACATTTTAGTAACTTGATAGCTCATATGTTAGTCTTGTAAATGAATATCCTTAGAGCTTGTCTTGGATAAAATCTTTTCAGGTGGATGCTGCGGATCTAAAAGGTGGGATTTCAGTGGCTGCAGCAGAGTATGTAGAGAATGATACAAAAGATACAAGAATGGCAGAAGATGGGGGAAGGGAGGACATGTTTGTTGATTGCCCTGATGACATAGAAGGTCCTGAAACTCCGCAGTATGTAGACCAGAGCAATGATGCACATGATAGTCAACTGGAAGGATTGAGCAATGGAGCACATGATCTGGACTTGAAGGCCGAGGTAGAACAATTGCGCAAAATGCTAAATGACAGTATTGCTGAAAAAGATCGCATTGCTCGAGAAGCTGAGGTTGGTGGTTTTATTTAAGGTAGTTTCCCATAAATATGCTATATTCAATGATATTTATTTGCTCAACTCTGGCTCTATGTGCAGGAAGAAAGAGCAGCATCTACGTATGAGCTCACTCGCCTAACCAATCAATTCAAGGGTCTGGTTGATAGTTGGTCACTACCAAATAAGGATGATGGTGATTTAGTTGAGAATCTTCACCATCATAGTGAAGCAGTAGTCAGGGATTTGGCCTCTGGTGTCTCATTGCATGAGGTGGTAACGGATGTCTCCAAGTTTCTTAAAGAAGTTCTGGATGAGCGTGTTCAGACTGAGAGCAAAATCAGAGAACTTAATGACCTGATACATATGAAGAGTCAAGAAATTGATGCCCTCAATTCAAAGGTTTCCGAGTTTTCAATGGAACGAGAAAATTCTGCTCACTTCTCTGTGGTTCAACTTGAGAAGGAGAATCATATGACAGAGATCACTAATGACATCTTAGCTTCTCTTGCTTCAGCGGTTCCTCTAGAAAATTTTTCTGATGAGTCAGTTACAGGAAAAATGCTTCATGTCAAGAATATGATCCCAGTTTTAGCTGAGAAGTATAACGTTTTCCTTTCCGAAGTTAACCAACTTAGACGGAGCTTAACTGAAGTTGCACCAGACCATAATATGCAGGATGAAATGGGGGTGTTGGTGGTTGCACGTGATACATTGGCTGAATTTAGAACAAGAGAGTTGAATGTAAACCAACATCTGAGCTTTTTAAGTGATGAAAATGGGAAACTGTCTGAGGAACTTAATAAACATAAATTGATGGTTGAGAATGCAAATGCTGAAATAACAAAGCTGGGTGCTGAAATTGAACAGGAGAGAACAAGGTATGCTAATACAAAAGAGAAGCTTAGCTTGGCTGTGACAAAAGGAAAGGCGTTAGTTCAGCAGCGTGATGCTTTGAAGCAGTCACTGTCTGAGAAAGCTAGTGAGCTGCAGAGGTATCAAATTGAGTTGCAAGAGAAGTCGAATAGTCTTGAAGCTGTGGAACAAACCAAGGATTTACTGGGGAGAAGCGAAAGTTTAGCTGCTTCACTGCAGGAAGCTCTCATTCAAAAGAATTTGATACTTCAAAAATGTGAAGAAATATTGTTCAAGGCCACTGGAAGTGAGCAATTTCAGTCAACAGATATGATTGAGAAAGTCAAGTGGCTTGCAGATGAGACGAATGCATTGAATGAGACATCTTTACAACTCCGAAGAGTGGCAGACTCCTTGTCATCATTTGATTTCCCCCAGCCCGTACAATCAAATGGACCTGATGCACAGGTTGCTTGGCTCCTGGAATCATTTTATCTGGCTAAAGAAGATGTAAGAATATTACATGAGCAGATGGGAGCAGCAAAAGAAGCTGCAAATAATGAGATTGGTCAGCTTACTACTTTCCTCGTGGGAGAAGCACAGGATAAAAGCTATCTTCAAGAGGAATTGGAGGATTTAAATCATAAATATGCAGTGCTTGCCCAGAAAGAGCATCAGGCTTCAGTGGATAAGGATAGAATCATCAGTATGCTTCTAGAGGCTTCTAAGATCAACTCACATGATCAAGAATTGGTCTATCAAAGCCAATCTGACATGACCGTACTCATTACGAAATGTGTTGAAAATATAAAAGAAGAAAGTAGTGCCTCTCTTGAAGCCCATAGTCATCAATTTGAGTCCTTTGAACAGATGCAGAGTAATTTGTACATTAGGGATCTAGAATTGAGACTATGTGGTCAAATACTTACAGAGGAGATGTCGGATAAAGCAGAGTTGAATAGATTGTCAAACCATTCAGTCAAGGTTACTGAGGAACTTTATGTTTTAAAGGAAGAAAAGGAATCTCTGGAGAAGAATCTCGAACAATATGAGGACAAAGTTTCCTTACTTAGGGAAAAGTTGTCTATGGCAGTAAAAAAAGGCAAGGGGCTTGTCCAAGAACGAGAAAAATTGAAAGGAGCATTGGATGAGAAGAGTGCTGAAATTGAGAAGCTGAAGTCAGATTTACATCAGCAAGAATCTCTATCTAATGACCACAAGTTGCAGATTGATAAGCTCTCAGCTGAGATGCACCGTATCCCTCAACTAGAAGCTGATCTTGTTGCTATGAAGGATCAAAGGGATCAACTAGAAGCTGATCTTGTTGCTATGAAGGATCAAAGGGATCAACTAGAAACTGATCTTGTTGCTATGAACAATCAAAGGGATCAACTAGAACAGTTCTCAGTGGAAAGGAATAACATGCTTCAAAAGGTTATCGAGTTGCTTGATGGTATTGTTCTTCCGGCTGACTTGGGTTTTCAAGATCCCATTGAAAAGTTCAAATGGATTTCAGGATATGTACGTGAAAGCCAAACTGCAAAGATGGAGGCGGAGCAGGAGTTGGGGCAAGTTAAAGATGAAGCCAGTTCTTTAGCCAACAAATTGTTAGAGGTCCAGAAAACCATTAAATCCCTAGAAGATGCATTATCTACTGCGGATAACAACATCTCACAGCTCCTGGAGGACAAAAATGAGTTAGAAGCTGCGAAGGCATTAGTTGAAAAAGAATTAGAGAAAGCAATGAAAGAAGCTTCTGCTAAAAGTGTTGAGTTTGAGAATGTGTTCGTGGAGAGAAAATCCATTGAGGATGCTTTGTCCCTGGCAGAGAAGAATGTTTTAGTACTAAAGAATGAGAAAGAAGAAGCTTTACTTGGTAAAGATGCTGCTGAGTCTGAACTACAGAAAATCAAGGAGGAATTCTCTTTCCATACCAACAAACTAAAAATGGCAGATGAAACTATACAATCCCTTGAGGACGCACTAGTTCAAGCAGAAAAAAACATATCTCTGTTTACTGAGGAAAATAATAGGGTACAAGTTGGTAGAACTGATCTAGAGAACGAGATTAACAAGCTCAAAGGGGAAGCTGATATCCAAAACAGTAAGCTAAGTGATGCTTCCATGACTATAAAGTCTCTAGAAGATGCTTTGCTGGATTCAGGAAACAAAATTTCCGATCTTGTTAATGAAAAGAAGAATGCAGAAGAGGAAATTGTAGTTCTGACTTCCAAGGTAGATGCCTGCATGCAAGAGTTGGCTGGATCACAGGGCAGAGTAGAAACTAAAGTTCTGGAGCTCTCTACCCATCTTAGCCGTCTTCAGTTACTTCTGAGAGATGAAGTTCTGTTTTCCTCTCTCCGAAAAACTTTTGAGGGAAAGTTTCACAGCCTAAAAGACATGGATCTTCTTCTTAAAGAAATCTGGGATTATTTTTCTGAAGTAGATACTGAAGTGCTACCAGATTCTCCTACTAAGGTAATCATAACATCATCACACCTTCCTCTTCCTTTTTCTTTGTTGCTTTTCTCTTTGAGTAATCTTCCACCTCCCTGTCACAACCTTACAGCTCAGAAGTTTATTTGAGTGGTTGATTACTTGGATTTTTTTTATTGGTTTATGGTGTGGTTTCTTTTGTGAGAAAAGTAACCTACCTGAAATATCTCTGATGTCTGAAATAATTGAAGAATTTTGGATTTATCTAAATAGCTGTGGTCACCTATCTCTGTTTTATAACAGAGATTAATTATCATGGTTCATTCATAATGCATATATATATATATATATATATATATATATGAAATTGTTGGTCATTTTCAGCTTCTTACTTGTTCATTTGCTGGTGGATTGCCTGTTTGCTTTTTTGTTTATTAGTGAACAACTTGCTGGCCAATTGTAAAGACCATTTTGATGTTAATTCTCATCCTTTCGGATCAGTTACACATGCACTTGTCCGTTGCTTGCTCGTTCTGTCATTAGAATGATTTTTTTCGAAATTTGCAGTTCACAAATGGTAGGTATCAAGTTGACTTATTTATAGTAAAACTTGTGCCTGTATGGATATACTTATGTTACCTATACTTGTAATATGATCAGGTGATCTGCATGTTCTTGATGTACCTTCTCTTACTTCTCTGCTATGTTCTTTTTTAGGATGACTCATCTTTCTCAATTCCTTCGGTATCTGTTGTTAATGATGCTCTAAATGAGGAAGTAGCCAACGGTGAACCAAATGCAACTGATGGTGACAATATCACATTTCATCTTGGGAAAATTGTGGATGGATTCGAATTGAGAAACAAGATTCTTGCCGAGAACATTGGATGTTACTCTGCATCGATGGATGATTTGATCAAAGCCATACTTAGGAAACTGGAGTTGACAAAAAGCATAGCTCTACCTGTGATTGAACTGACAGAATCTCTTAAGCAAAAGGTCAGAGATGCAGAAGTTGGTAGGCTAGCGCAGGAAAATACTATACAATCGTTGGAAAGGGATCTTAAAGTTCTACTTTCTGCTTTTAAGGATGCAACTAGTGAACTGGCTTTAACTCAAAATAGATTGTCTGAACTTGGCTCCAACTTTGACCTGGAAAAGTTGAAGGAAACGTCACCTCAACAATTAGCAAATTTTGGTGAAGATGCTATAGTACATCATCACTTGGAGCTTGATAGCAGCCAGTCTGCAAGGACTGCTGAGAAGCTGCTATTGGCAGCTAGACAAAGCCGCCATCTTACTGAACAGTTCAAATCTGTGATGGAGGTGATGGTTGGTACTAATAAAGATTTGCAGGTTAAACTGGAAGAAAGCAATAATACTTGTGGAAAAGTCTTGGAAGAAAAGGAGACCCACCAAGAGAGGATCTCCCATCTGGAGACTAATCTAGAAGAATTGAATGGTCTTTGCGATGAGATGAAGCTTAAATTAGAGGATTATCAGGCTAAAGAGGATTATATCAAGGAGAAAGAAGCTGAACTTTTGTCTCTAAATGCTAAAGCTTCACTGAATTTTCAAGGTACACATTGTGTTTACTATGTTCCCCCCCTTAAATTATGAAAATGTTGGCTGTGTCTATAGTAGTTTTCTCATGGCCTGTTTTGATACTATTCTTTCAGAAGCTGAAAACTTAACCCTCTCAGCATCTCATATGAGATCTCTTTTTGACAAACTAAAAGAGATTGAAACACTCATGGGGCCTGATGTGGGAGATGCAGAGGCCTATGATTCACCTGATGTCAGGCGGCTCTTTTATGTAGTTGATAATTTCCCAAGATTACAGCTCCAGATGGACTCATTGTCTCGTGAGAAAAAAGAATTACAATCAAGCCTTGAGAAACAGGCACTGCAAATTGAGAGTTTAAAGGATGAAGTTGAAGAGCACATGAGAGATGAGGTGGACTGTGCAAAGATGAAGAATGAGTTGTTAGAATTCACAATTGGTTTAGAAAATATTATACATAAGCTGGGAAGCAACAATTTGGTTGACTACCATAAAGAGACTCCGGTGACAGGGTTTTTACCAGTGCTTGATAAGCTGATTGTTGCCAAAGTCTTGGAATCTGAAAATTTGAAAGCCAAAACAGAGGAACTGCTTGCTGACTTACATGGTACCCAGAAGGTTGTTGAGGACTTGTCAAGTAAGGTTAAGTCACTGGAAAATTCTAATCAACTTAAGGTTGCACCACTAGAGATCAACCAGGAAAGGGGCATCTTCGAAGCTGCTTCCTTGCCTACTCAGTCAGAGATATCCGAAGTTCAAGATGTGGTAATTTTGATTGCAGTACATTGCATTCCTTTTTCAGTATAAGTCATTACATTGCCTTCTTTCAATATTTTTCATGTCCATTGCTGGTCAGTTATGTGTTATTTTAGCAATGCCATCTTTTAGTTGGCTTGCTCTTATAATCTTTTTCTCCAAGGATACATCTAATCGAGAGTATGCCAAGAGGCTGAGACTAAAGGTCTTTTGAAAAATTGATTAAAAAAGATCTTTTGACAAATGCATAATAATCAAACAACGCTTTAATTCCTTTGTTCTTTTAAGTTGGAAGACCTGTCAAAAGAATTTGGTTCTTATTGGAAAAATTGAATGGCAAGACATAGTAAATTATTGATGATATATAATGTAATGCAAGATAAATTAGAAAACGCGTACAAGCGATAATCACACTAAGTATGCAAATGACGTGATTTACTTTGGCCACCATGAAATGCCCAAGTCGCATCCTGAGAAAAGGTTAACGAAATTGCAGCCAATTTAATTGACCTTCTGGCCATTCAAGATATTTTTATGTGCAATTTTCTACTGACCAAATAACCTCTTTAGCAGAGTCATGACCTAATATTCTCCATCTCATATAAGTTAGGGTGGGGAGATATGACTCATCTATGTTGCTTATGCATTCTGAAGATTTAGTGTTTGTGCCTTTGAGTCTGATTGTTTTGACCTGTCCAAAATGATATGGTCAACAGATACCTTAAGTAACATCCCTCTGCTTCACTTATGTGCAAGAAAGTGACAATATTTCAGTTGATATAGGTGTTGATCATGAGCAAAAGTTGGAATAGAGGAAGTGAGCTTAACTTATGTGCAATTTGTGTCTTTGATGATGCATTTATATGTATTTGTACCCTACAGTTACCTTGGTTTACTAATCCCTGGTGATCCGTGAATAGCATCCTGCTGTTCTGGAAATGATTCTGTATTTATATAGACGTTAAAATTCTCTTACTTAAATATTTTAAAACCTAATCAAGGTTTCTTAATGTACATTGATGGAAGGTATAGAAAACCTTTAATGAATGCTATTTTCGGTTAAATACTGAACTTTTAAACGTGTTTTCTTAAAATGAATCGAAGGAGACCACATGTTAGGTAAACATTGATTTATCCATCAGAAATCTCGCTGCATAAGTCACTTGCATTTATTTTCCAATGCCCACTTCTCTTTTTTGTTCATTACTCAAGGAACTCTCAAGCATCGAGTGGTTGCTTTTCCTCAAAAAGTAACTGTGGTTATGGTAGGATCTGATGTAATTTCCTTAACCTCTCAGCATCAATATGCTATTGTAAAAATGATATATGCTTGTATTTACAAACAAAAGTGTTGACTTGTGAAGGGGAGGCTTAGAGCAACTGTAAAAGTTTGTCTTCATGTGACCTATATGTCAGGGGTTCGAGTCGTGTAAGTGTAATTTAAAACTGATGCTTGCGTTAGGGTAATGTTTGTCTATATTACACCCTGTCGGGGTCAGCCCTTCACAGGTCCATGTGTGAATATGAGATACTTCATAGATTAGGTTCCCCTTATAGTGTTCTGACTTAACATTTTTTCTATTAACTGGGAAGAAAATGTTTGTGCAAAGCAGCCTAACTTGCTACATTCTTCTTGTTTGCAGGTACCAGTTAGTAAGAATTTAGCCTCTTCTTCAGTTGCATCAGCGGCTCATGTTCGAACTTTGCGGAAGGGATCTGCAGATCAACTTGCAATAAATATAGATTCTGAATCTGAACGGTTGATAAATGACGAGGAAGCTGACCAAGAAAAAGGTGTAGATTAATGATACAAATCTTTGAAAAATTTGGAAGAGAAATGTAATGTTTAGCAAACTTAAAAATTTGCTCGTCTTGCAGGTCATGCATTCAAGTCACTCAATACTTCAGGTCTTGTTCCAGGGCAAGGGAAGATGATTGCGGATAGAATTGATGGAATTTGGTAATATCTTAGAGCTTCTCTCTAGCCAGCTTCTTATTGATTTTTTTGATGAAATTACAAATTTTCTGCTGCATTTCTTTAAGTCTAGTAATAACATTTGCCGACCAAAATATAGAGACATTAGATTCAGGTCAAGCATTTTTGATTCTTGCAACAATGAAAATAGTGATGCTATCTTGCTAGGTTCTCATTCCTCATACCATGATTTTCACTTTACCAATTCCAAGTCTTAACAATCTCCACCATCTGTTACTGACATGATTTTTTGGAGAGTGGTGTAGGTAGGGGTGGTGTGTTATTTTGTGTAAGGAGAGGGTTCTGTCCAAGATTTATATGGTAGACTTAAACATGCTTGTAGAGAATTTCAAGTACTTTTTTTTTTTGGGTGTGTTTAATATTTGGTATGATGTGAGCTGAAATGGAACAACATGGTTACCAACCCAAACTTACTTGGGATAGACGCATATTTGTTGGTGCAGGGAGGTAGTTTTGTCCAGTGCTTGGCTTGTCAATCTAACACTTGATTCCCAATTATATTCAGGGTATCTTCAAGTCGAGCTTTGATGAGTCATCCAAGGGGCAGGCTAAGTCTTATTGCTTATTGTTTGTTCCTTCATATTTGGTTATTAGGCACCATATTGTGATGATTCCGATAATTGATTCTTTTGCAGTTGTACATTACATATTGTTATAATTTTTTCTTCCTCTTTTGACCTGGCTCAGTGCCTAAATGTAAATGGTTATAAGGTCTCAGCAGATAGATTCTCTGCAATCACAGTTTTAGGGATTCAGAGAATGTTGGATAGTTGTTCTATTAGCCAATAGCTGTACTAGAGTTGAATGAATGCATACATCTTTGCTTAGGCTAGGTTTTGATTTACTGTCTAGTACAATACCACAATAAACTCATTCCTTTTCTTTAATGTTTTATTCCATGCTCTCTAAAATAACACAGCCAGATTAACTTTTTGATTCCCAAACACTGTCATGTTCCCAATGTGGCCGCGATTCCTAACAAGTTCTGACTTGAACTCGTAATATGCTTATTTAGAAGCTTTTGTAGGTTGCTTGGTTGAGAAACATTTTGCTTCAAGCTAGAGTTGAGCTGTGTGATTTTTCACGTAAAAATCTTGTGTTCTTTACTGTATTCCGCGCTTTACAGGTGTTTGGTGATTTCACAAGAAACATGTATAGAAATGTATGTTGGACGAAATTTAGCACCCCTCCAGTGTCTTGTGCAATATGGCGAACTTGATAAATTTTTTAAAATATCTACACCATTACGACTAAAGTATGGGTACACTTGCTCTATCCAGATCTCAATCGTGGGATTACAGTATATCAAAGGAATTCCAAATGACTCTTTTAACTTGTGAATCTACCATTCTTCATTAGGTGCAGATCTCTCTATGTTGCAATTACCTGCATTTGTTCCTGCATGCTAAAAATACAGATTCATTCATAAAATGCCAATGAAAAAGAGAAAAATACTTGTAACACATATAGCCATGGCAAAATCAAGAAATAGAAGATGATACTTTTTAGGAGTTTCAGAAAAGAAAGTCACAACTTTCACACAGACAGCTTTCATGGTTAGTGCAAAAGAAGTTACCAATCTATTTTGAGGAATTTGATGTGTAGCGCCATATGATGCCTCCTACTAGATTATTTACAGCATGAGCAGCCATTGGCACCACAACAGTTGATGATGAAATTGTAGCATAACCATACACTATCCCAACAAATGTGGCCCTGGAATTACTCTTCCTGAGCATCATATTTCATGTTTTATATACACAGTTTGAGCATAAGTTTTAACAAATACCAGGCAGCAAAGGAGTATCTCCGACCACTGCCCAAGTGTAATATCCCAAATATGGAAGCAGTTGCCACAACACTCTGCCAATGGATGCCAAAAAGTGGTAGCAATGCACCACGGAAGAGAACCTCCTGCGTCATTGACATACCCATACAAGCTTGTAATCATTTCTGAAATTTCAAAATCAGTAACTCATCCAACAAGTAACCTATGTGATAAACACATCAAAAACTTGTACGCGTACCTCACTAATGCCTGGAAGAAGTGATACCACTAAGTAATCCAAAGGTTCAAGTGAACTCAACACCTGAAATGGAACTTGTTTTTTCTTCACAAACAAAATAGCGCAAACTAGCCAGCCCTTTGATCCAACCAAAGAAAGTATGAGAATATGTACCTACCTGGCTATTTGCTGCTTCACTAGACTCAGCGAAATCTGGCCATGTCTTGAGTAATAAGTAGCGACAAGAGGATACCAGGATGACCAATCCAGTAATCAACTCAAGATGCCACATCTGGAAAGTCACTGTAGAGAGAACTATCAACACGAACACCCTTTATGCTATAACTGATAAAGACTAAACAGAACTGACAAGTCGAAAATAGCTTTTCTTTTCTTTGAAAACAGTTAAGACGTCCAACAGTTCACCATTGCAAAGAAAAAGACTTTTCCATGATGTAATAGGAATGTGGTTTGCAGTACAAGAAATTCCAAAACTACAAGAAAACTTGTAAGGTTTTACATGGTATTTCGACAGAACAGTCAACAATAGGCAATCCTCCTGTTGATGCAACATGAGAGCCCTGCAAAACCACAATAAGAGGGTTTTACTTCCCTTTCATGGACTTCACCAATCTATAAGTTCACATAGAAGAAGTTATCAATCTAAATCGAATTCACCATATGAACACATCACTCTGAAGTGTAAGCATATCACTATATTTGTGTCATTCAAAAAGCAGTAACACACTCAAGTTCATGAGAAAACTTTGAAGAGCTGAGGGAGAAAGTTTACCTCTCTAATTACAACGCCTAGAAGACCTATTAAACCAGAAGTGATTATGCATGCCTTAAGCACAGAACCTCTAGATGGGATCATCGGTACAGAAGTCCCAGCCTCGGAAGTGTCAAGAGGAGATGCATTCTTGTTATCTACAACATAATCTGGATTAACATCATCACTTAACATATACTTATCAGGTATTGCAGTATCCGTTTTCTCTGTTTTCCTCGATTTCTTTACCGACTTCTGACTAGCAAACACCCTTACATTGGCTTTAGACCCCTGTACTTATGTATAGTAAACATAGTCAGCAATTCTTAACATGAGTTCAAGGAGGTTAATTTCATATATGATCACTAAAAATTTACCAACTATAAAAATAAAGTCACATACTATCTTTAGTTGAAACTTTAGTCAAATGTGACAAAACATAGTTGTATAATGTTTCGTGACAATACGTGAAATTAACCCCGACTTCAAGTGAACCACAAATTCATGTTTTTTAGAACTTACATAGCACAATATAGGGGATACAGACCTTGGTGAGCAGTTGGGATCACCAAACTTCCTACCTGATAGAACATCAAACAATATTTATAAAGGTAAAACACAATTATTTTTTCCATCTCTTACCCTCGACATTAAATACTTATTCTCTGAATTATTTTTCAAGACCTAATACTAAACATCATTTAATAATGTCGTAAAATATCTATATCAATAATTATTTTCTTAATGAGTGTATCAAGTAAAAATGAACATGAAGTACTTTTCATTTCACAAAATCAATACATAAATAACAAACACCATTCTTCCTGTTTTATTCTTGGAAGTATGAAATTTGTCCTACATTAGAAAACTAAATGATTAATTCATGTTTATCGGTCAATGTAATTATCGAAATAAATTAATTTATGTTCATTTACTGAAAACTCAACTTCAACAAAATACTAAATAAGACTACTATACTGTATAAACTTAGTTTCTTTTTAAGGACGTAAAATCTAAAATGGTAACATATAAATAAAATAAAAACAGAGGAACTAATAATTTAACTTTAAAAATGTTTTAGCCTTGGTGAACTAATTTATAGCCACACAAACCTTTATAATTTATCATAGATCACAAATTTCAAAGTTATTTCTTTCTTTGTCATGTCAAACTATATCACATAAATTCGAACAGAAGAAATACTATTGGACATGGAGAGCTTGAGGAAGATATCACCATACTCCATGAAAGGAAAAGTACTTACAGGGAGTGATAATGGTAGTGAACTTCAAGAAGTTGTTTGTAGTAAGTGAACCCATTGATGATTTGCTTGAAAGCTAAAATTGTAGAATTAAAAAACAAGATTTTCCCTTCTACCTATAATAATAAATCTCACTTGAACAATACATTTTTTATTGGTATCTAATGGAACAGGAAGAGAGGGGAATGATAGAATTGGAGACCAATTCTTTTATTTTTAATAAAATAAAATAAAATAAGATCTTCACTGCCTATTTTTATTTCTTAAGCTGCTCAATAAAAGGGCAAAAAGGCTTAGAAAAAAAAAATTGGTCCAAAATTTGAGTGGTCCAAATTCTTCATACCTATCATGCAGTAGTAGCAAACTTAAATTGCTATTGTTTCAATATATGAAGTAATTTATTATGTACTTAATTTTAAAAAATGAAATTATGATAAAAATATAAGTTTATTTTATTAAGTATAAAAAAAAATTATATTATTTTTATTGGTTGACTATCTTAAATTTAGACTATCTCCAATTCATCTCTATTTTCTATATTTTGAGAGTAAAATAGAAAATGCTTTTTGCAATCTCTCTACATATTACTCTCTTTATAATAGTTCTCCAACTTCTCTATTTCATTTTTGATTATTATTATTTTAATAATACTTTTTTTTAATTTGTAATTATCTTTTAATATAATATAACACTAAAAATATATTATTGAAAAGTTCCTACTTCCATCCAAATTACTATTTTTTAAAAATAAAAATAAATAGCACTTTAAATATGTAATTTAAAATTATTTTACCACAGTATTATTTATATGGCATGATTTTCCCTAGTTCTTGCTTGGATGCGAGACACATGACACATGTAAGAATTAATGACTAAAATTTGATTGATTAAAATAAAATTTTAATTATAATATAGATAATTAATATTTCATAAAAATAATAATATCACAATCATAAAATATATTATCTTGTTCATATATATATTATTACAAAAATTCTTTTTTTTTCTAAATTTTTTCTTACCAGTATTATCTTCTGTTTTTGTCCTAAATATATTATAAAATATTTTCTGTTTTTCTATTCTTTTTCCTGCGAGTATTTTTGCGATAACCACTTTAAAAGAGAAGATTCATAATTGCAATCTAAAACTATCTCAATTAAAAAAAAAACAGAACATAAATACTCGTAGGAAGAAAATTTAGAAAAGTGAAAAGCTTTTATAATACATTTATTTTACTATGATTATGGATTTGTTGCATTACTATTATTTTTATTAAATATTAATTATCGAAATCATAAATTTTAATTATCTATAAATTTTAGCCATTAATATTTATTTATGCCATGTGTCACAAAAAGTTTTTAAAAAACAGAGAGGAGGCGGATTTTATAAAACTAACTTTCTTTGCTAAAATTTCAAATATCTATTTTATTCTCCTTTTCATTAAACTTCTTGTTCTTTGGATATACTAGCATTGCCTAAAATAAAAACAAAATTAATAAATATTTTTAATTAATCTTATTAGTATCATGTGAATATATTATGACTAAAAAAGTTTTTAAGTTTGTAAAATTTTTAGTTAGTGATATAAAATCCATCCAAAAAGATAATAGATGATGTATAATTAAGGAAATATATTTATTTGTTCGTACTTACCTTATATGCAATGTTTACCAACTTCCCTTAGGTGATTTTCTAATAGTTTTACAAACACAACTTCTTTATATATATATAAAAAAAAGTATTCTGATCTTATTAAACAAAAAAAAAAAAATCTTCAACAGTATAAGCCATTATTTCTTGATTTTTATTTTCTTGATTTTCAAAACAATGATAAAAAGTTTCACA